GTATAAGAAGGCACGATAGGAAATGCGTCCTGGATTCCAGCCGACCAGCCGGATGTCTACCAGGGCTGCCACTAGTGCAGCAGCTCAGTATGCAGAGGGGTCAGGGAGCTTCTCTTCTGACACTGACACTGATGAGTTTAGAGTGGAGTTTAGAGAAGAAAGAAAGAGGAAGAGCACTGACAGAGGATCAGATGGTGATAGCTCAGATGTGGAGCAGGAGATTGAGGAGGAGGAGCCAGTTCCTCCAGTTCAACACCAGCCTGGTCAGGGGATGCATTATGGTCTTCTTGAGACACGTTTGCCCAATGTGCCCTCTTATGTTCCTAGAGTTGACTTCAGGGGAAAGGGTATGACCAGGAGAGCTAGAGATGAGCGAAGGGTTGATCCGAGGGGCTTACCTAAGGTTTAGTACGATCACCGCTTCCAGACAGCCTTTCACCTAGACTTCTACTCCAGTGTGATTCTCACCAGGAACCCTGTGATTGCTAGGTCTCAGTGGATTGACTGGCAATATATTAGGGAGTTGCAGAAGGCCTCAGTTGATCATGCCATTGCCATCTGCTAGAGCACAGGAGTTTATGAGATCATGGAGTTCCAGCATGACTGGAACACAGAGGTAGTAGCTCAGTTCTATGCTACTCTGTTCGTTGAGGAGGATGAGAGACGGATGCACTGGATGCTTGAGGGCCAGTGGTACAGTGTTGACTATGATGTATTTGCCGCCCACCTTGGCTTCTCAGAGGATGATCTCCAGAGGGACAGGATCCACACCGAGCAGGTGTTACCTCCTGAGCAGCTCGCATATATGTATCGTCCTGGTGGTGAGAGAGGAGCAGTGGGGAAGGTTCTAGGTCTTCACCCTACTTACAGATACCTGGACAGGATGTTCAGGAAGACTATTGACTGCAAGGGTGGAGACAAGGGCAACATTGCTGATTATTCTAGGAACCTACTCCATAGGATGGCACCTGATGCTCGGCCCTTCAGCGTGTTTGATTTTATTTGGTCCGAGATTAGGAGTGTGGGAGAGAGGCCCCTCAAGGGCTGTGGTTTTGCTCCATATATCATGCATATGATTGAGCAGGTGACAGGGCACACGTTCGAGTATGACAAGATTCACAAGGCCCTGAAGATTGTTGCAGATCTGCCTGAGTCAGGGTTGCCTCCAGCAGGACCAGGAGGAGCAGCAGCAGCACCAGAGGCAGATGCACCTGAGAGTGGTGCACTAGCAGGAGTTTCACCTTCACCACGTGCACCTTCACGTTCTACTTCACACCGTGGCAGTCCTCCCTCGCCTATCCATAGGCTTTTTAGCTCCATATTTGGGATGTGCAGAGACATCTAGACCCGGTAGTAGAAGGAGAGGGAGGCTAGGAGGAAGGATACCCGGACCTTGAAGCAAATTGCTTCTAGGCTTGAGCTTGATCCTCCTAGATCTCCTCTATCAGATGAGGCAGCTAGTGAGCCTGAGACTGAGGAGCAGCAGCAGGCCAGATATGATAGAGAGTATGTTGAGTTTATTCAGCGACAGCAGCAGCAGCAGGCACCACAACACCCGGACACTCTACCACTACATGCTCGTATGCCTACTCACTCTTAGCCACGTCCCAGCACTGCAGACGACTATGCTTCAGACTGGTGGACTGACCTCACAGGTGGTGGCGGCTACTATGGGTCTAGTGGCTATGACCCGTCCGGCTCAGGTGGTTCTCGTCCAGCTGGTGTTACACGTTCAGATGACGAAGATGCTAGGAGAGATGATGATGATGATGCTGAGTGATGCCAGAGATCAGATACAGCTTGCAACCTCTTTTGTCCTTAGTTTGTCATTGTTGGACCTTTGTGGTGATAGATGACAAAGGGGAGAGAGACTGATTAAAGCTTCAGAATATTTGTTTCATTTGACTTATCTTTCTTTGTACCTGATGATATGTACTGCAGGCTGTAGTTTTTGTTTTTGAGCTTCATTGATGTATCTTGAGTTTGAGATTGCATTGTATCATGTGAGAGATGAGACTCACTTATGCTTTATCTATGGATCTATTGAAATATGATCTTTATTATCTGTGGCTCGTGGACTTGAAAAAATATGTAATGAGTGCTATGTGTGAGTTACATGTGTTGTATTTATTTTCATAAGGACTATGCATGCTAGAATGAAAATGTTTGATGTGATGCCTTTATATTTACTCTTGTATGATATATCTTGTCATATGCATCACGATTTTACTTTGTCACACACACATGCACCCCACGGATGCAATGATTTAGGGGGAGTCTCCTATATGTTTTAGTATGTGCAATTGACATTTGAGGTTATTTTATGAATTCTAATCATAAGCACATATTAAGGGGGAGCCTCTCATAAATCATTGAACCCAAAAGCTTAAATGTCAATATTCTTTTGTAAGCTTTAATCAAGTTGTCATCAATCACCAAAAAGGGGGAGATTGAAAGTGCATCTAGCCATTTAGTGGGTTTTGGATGATTGAATGACAATGTGATTAAAGGTCTAACCCGTTTGCTAAGTGTGGACATGTTATAGGTTATCTCGTGAGTACTTAATGAAAGCCAAAATGATGTGTTGTTGTATAAACAATCTAGTTCAAGCACAAGACAACAATGCAAATGTTATTCATGCAAAGACTCATTTATTATGGGATTTCCATTTGCTATATGAAAGCAAGCTCGTAAGAATTAATTAATGAGACATGAGGAATTGCATATGGAATGGTCTCATACTTAAAGCTTGCTAAATTGAAATGAAAAAGATAACAATACAAATGAATGGATGATTCAACACAAGAAGTGACTTGATGGCTTGAGATGGTGAAGATAGCAAGAAAAGGCTTCGAGGTACTAAGCAAGGGTGAAGGGCAAGCGATGGCTTGGCGGCCGAAGAACCTAGCTAGGGTGAAGAAGAAAGTACTTGCATTTAGTTGAGGTACTAATCAAGCTATGATGGCCATGTTCATGTGGAGGATCAAATCACTATTAGAGTGTTTGATGGAAGTGACTTGATACATTTGGGATTATTCAAATTTGATGAATGGAATCAAGTCACGTGCTCAAGATGGCTATGCTCAAGTGAAAAGATCAATATCAACATGTTAGCACCCTTACTTGATGAAGATTGAAAGAGACGGCATCAATTCAAAAGAGATCAACTCAAGTGGTATAAATCTATTGTTCCTTTGATCTTGAGTTCAATAGGTATGCCGTACTATTAAGAGGGATGCATCATGTTGATAGATAATGTTTCATAAGTGCTCAAGCCAACCCAAGTGAGTTTTCAGTATTTGAGCGACAAAAGAGCTAACTTTATTTTTGCTGGTCTGGTAATACCGGACGTGTACGGTATTCATACCGGACGTGTCCGGTATTTACCCAGCAGTTGTAAAATTGTTGTTCTCGGGTTGGTTCGTCGGGAGTTTCGACGTAGGTCGGGAGTTCCGACGTCTCGCACTTTAACTGACTTGGAGGGTTCACTATCCTAGTCATACCGGACGTGTCCGGTATTCATAACGGACGTGTTCGGTATGCACGACCAGAGGCCAACGGCTAGTTTTCCAAAGCCTTGAGGGTCGGGAGTTCCGACGTGAGTCGGGAGTTCCGACGGTCGGAAGTTCCGGCATGTGTCGGGAGTTCCGACACCTCATATTTTTTTAACTCAGTTACATGGTTTTCAAATTTGCTGAGGGTCAGGAGTTTCGACGCATGTCGGGAGTTCCGGCATTCATCGGGAGTTCCGACACCTCACATTGTCACTGTAACTTAGTTACCGTTATGGCAGTGTAAGTCATACCGGACGCACACCGGACGTGTCCGGTATTGCAACGGCTATAAAACGGCTAGTTTTTCATAGGGGCTATAAATACCCCCAAGCCTCCACCTTTGGAGGCTGCTGATTCTGCTGAGATAGACACACGTTTTTAGCCTTGCCAACTCTCCCAACCCTCTCTTGGTGAGTGTGTGATCCAAATTGCAAAATCAATTTGTGGGTTAAGAGAGAATTTGAAAAATAGAGCAAGCCACCACTTGAGCACTTGTGCATATTGTCAATCTCGTGATTCGCATTTGTTTGGGATTTAAAGGCTTTGTTGTTGTTGCTGTAGTATTTCGCATATAAAAAGCATGATCGTGGTACTAGGGTCAGTTGTATGTCTGAAAAACAATATATAACAACGGCATCTCGGTCTATGCCCCACTTGCCATTGCCACAGCAATATTTTTTACAGCAGTTGTTAAATGCTTTAGATGGATTTTTTTTCTTCAGTCATTGCTTCACTGTCAGTGATATCTGTACTACTAGATTAAGAAAGCTATCTGTAGACTAACAGAGCAAATAAATTCATTGATTAGCAATGAACACCCATCACTCCTATATGTAGCTATTATGGCAGGATTAGGTGCTATATAAAACACTTGCAGTGCAAGCCAACTTCATTTTCCCAAGTCAGTTGTAATAATAGACTGTTGGTTTTGTGGTGTACCATGTGGGGTAGTACTTCAGTAAGCTATACACTAGGTTGAAACTTGAAACAAATGGCTTTGAGAATTTGGATTAAGAAATGGAGTGTTAAATGGATCTGTGTCCTATAGGGTAGGAGCTGGTGTCTTCAGGGCTCGACTTTCCTTCCAAACCAACAGAATTGTCCTGAGACTTGGGAGGTCTAGTAAGTAGTATAGTGTATATGGCCATTATTTGTAATCCATACAGGGCATGCTAACAGTGGACACTGAAAAGAAGTCAGTTCCTTTTAATTCAAAATGTGCCCTTGCATATACATTTGAAAACATGAAATCAGATAATTTAGATAAATGCTAAATTAAGTATGCTTCTTGATAGTTGGCCACCAAATAAATTGTCGCTGATAATTAGTTGTTCTTGAAATCTGTGGAGGTCATCTTCATACAGGAAGTTATATTCAAATATGACATGTTCAAACCTTGTAGTTGTCAAACCTGTCTTTCTCAGGCTTCTAAGTCTTTTTTGTCTAATGGACACATCAGGTGCTATGGGATTGTTCAAGAAACTTGATGTTGGTCCACTCGAGCTTGGGGACTATCTTGGTTGGATATATACTAGACCCTTTTCATTCTCTGATAGTCTGATTAGACCATGGATGCCATTGTCAATTTGCTAATACTTGTTTTTTTTTTTGTTTACCCATGTTTGCAGCAATTGGTGCTATTTTCTCTGCGACAGATTCTGTTTGCACCTTACAGGTTTCTTGTTGAACAATCTGCCATCTTTATCTTATAAAATGAGATAGGAAGCCAATTTAATTGGAAATTCATTACTTTGCAGGTGCTTAACCAGGATGAAACACCCCTACTCTATAGTCTAGTTTTTGGTGAAGGTGTTGTTAATGATGCAACATCTGTTGTTCTCTTCAATGCAATTGAAAACCTTGATATTGCTAATTTTGATGCTATTGTTCTGTTGAATTTCGTCGGAAAATTTCTCTACCTGTTCTTCACCAGCACCATACTTGGAGTAGCTGTAAGTAATCACCTATTGCCACTGTTGTGAGTCGTCTTATGAATACTTTCCTACTGCCAAAATAATCAGAAAATCTACTCTGATGATTTGAGCATGGCTCTTTTGACTGACTGATAATATTGTTTCATGGCAGACTGGGTTGCTTAGTGCGTATCAAGAAGCTCTGTTTTGCCAGGTCTGTACACAACTCTCTGGCTCTGTGGGGTAGTTTATTGTGTTTTACTTTACACTACAAAACAACAGACATTTGAAAAATACTGTTTCACGCTTGTGGTGATGTGCAGACATTCAACTGATAGAGAAGTTTCTATCATGATACTCATGGCATACCTTTCGTACATGCTGTCAATGGTAAGTGCATGAATATAAGTTCCAAACGTCATAAATAAGCAAGTCTTACTTGGAAAATGTTTAGGGGAGTGTATATTAATATCATTTGGTATTGATACTATATTAAAAATTTAACCTTTAGTTACTAATTTCTCTTGATTTGCTACCTTTGCTCTTATTTTTCTGCAGCATGCACTGATCTCAGTTTCTTAGCCTTTTGCAAACAGCATGATACCAAGATTTGTTTCTGGTTAATATAATGAGGCGCATCTCTCCTGCCTTTTCGAGAAAAAAAATATTTGTTTCTGATATTTTCTTCCATTTTTCAGCTGTTGGACCTGAGTGGCATTCTTACTGTTTTCTTCTGTGGAATAGTAATGTCACATTACACTTGGCATAATGTGACAGAAAGTTCTAGGGTTACCACTAAGTATGTCTTTTCTGGATTCAGCTTTTCTAGCAAAAATTATGGTTCTAACATTATGTATACTAATTGCTGATTTTTCCTTTCCATGCTGCAGGCATACTTTTGCAACTTTATCATTCATTGCAGAAATTTTCCTCTTCCTCTATGTTGGGATGGATGCATTGGACATTGAGAAGTGGAAATTAGCTAGTAGCAGGTACCTTTCGCTGTTGGAATGATTGATATTTTAAGGACTAGATATACCAACATAGATAACATACTAGTAAGAAAATTTCTGTTGTGTTATTAGTTATCTTGAACAAACTACATGTATCAGCTATTGACTATGCATCCAGTTAGGCTGATGTTATGTCAATCCTGAACTAAAATATTCTTGTTATACTGGTTCTGTTGTTGGCAAGAGGAACCTGTGTTCTTTCTTTTTTATTTGGAGATTCCTCAGTGAACCAGAATGAAGGGCGGGCCTGGTGCAAGCGGTAGAGTCTTACCGCATGTGACCGGAAGGTCCCGGGTTCTAGTCGCGGTCTCCTCGCATTGCACAGGCGAGGGTAAGGCTTGCCACTGACACCCTTCCCTAGACCCCGCACAGAGCGAGAGCTCTTTGCACTGGGTACGCCCTTTTTTTATTCCTCAGTGAACCAGAATACCAGATCCTTCAACAGGTTTCTATTAACTGTTGTTTGGCAAGTGAGCAACAATGGCCCACAAGAACAGCTCATGACCTCCCCCCCCCCCCCCAAAGCTAATATATCTGTTTGTTTCTCCTATGATGCAGTCCTAAGAAACCAATTGCTTTAAGTGCAATTATATTGGGATTGGCTATGGTTGGAAGAGCGGCGTTTGTATTCCCTTCGTCGTTCCTATCCAACCTAAGTAAAAAGGAGGCCCGTCCAAAGATCTCCTTCAAGCAACAAGTTAGTACTAGATCTTTTTTTCATTCTTCTGCCATTGTGCCCTCTGGAAACCTGAAAGAGCTAACGATGCTGGTATTTTCCTTTAGGTAATCATATGGTGGGCTGGTCTCATGAGAGGAGCAGTGTCAATTGCACTTGCCTATAACAAGGTGATGTTTGAAGCGAATTCTCATCTGCTTTGAACCTGCTACCAGATTTTTACATATCTTTGCTTGAGCATTTATAGGCTCTTATTTATACTAGTCCATGTAAACTTTTGCAGTTTACATCATCTGGTCATACTGAAGTGCGAGTTAATGCTATCATGATTACCAGCACAGTTATTGTTGTTCTATTCAGCACAATGGTAAGCCTGCTATACCTTATTATTAACTCGAACAGCTGTTCTTCATATGTATGCATATGTTACACAGTCCAGCACAAAGCATGACACTGAAACCATGGGTATAACTATAACACATTACACATGTGATGCTTTTCATATTTGTTTCTTCATGCTGTATGTGAATACGCAAATAGAATTAAAGGTCCATACACATGAATCAACTAGTTTGCTTTTTTACTTTTGAGAAAAATGAAAGTACTACCATTTTGCTAATTTATATGCCATCATTTAATTCAGGTTTTCGGTCTGCTCACCAAGCCGCTGCTTAGTCTCCTCATCCCACCAAGGACTGTCTTGAACACGTCATCTCTGCTCTCCAGCCAGTCTATTCTGGACCCACTTCTTACTAGCATGGTGGGGTCTGACTTTGATGTAGGACAGATCAACTCCCCCCAGTACAACCTCCAGTTTATTCTCACCGCGCCAACTCGCTCTGTCCATCGCCTTTGGCGCAAGTTTGACGATCGGTTCATGCGCCCAATGTTCGGGGGGCGAGGTTTTGTTCTTTTTGTGCCTGGTTCGCCGGTGGAGGGGAGCGTCCCTGAACCTCACTTGGGCACTGTGACGGAGGCATAGCATAGTTGAAATGAGGCAAAAGAGATGTAGACAATTTTCTGTAGATCACTTTGTTCTCAGAATCCATTGGTGTAAATTGTTGTAGTATCTTGTGCAGATAGTTTCTGTACAGCTACACAAGCTTCTGTAAATTTCTGGGAGACACTCCCAACTGTAGATTACCACTATTCATCTGTAAATTTCAATGTTGTTCAAGAAGAACAATCACATGCTAGCATATTGGCATGCTTTTTTTTATATATATAATTGTATAATTGTGGGTCTGTTACAAACAGTTTTTCTTTTTCCTGAACTGAAGTTATCATGTCTCAAACGATGTTGGGTCTGGTCTTAGTTTTTGTCACGGGATATGTACATTTACCCCAAGAATGTCAAATGTGGAAAAACATGACTGTCAAAACTCCCAGTGATTTTCCCTGTACATTCTCCCTGGTTTTACGATGAAAGAGGCTAACTTCCTGCCTATTGGAACAAAAACCTTGAGTTTGATGGTAAGTTGTTTTAGCTGTCCTAAGTCAAACTTATTTAGTTTTGACTAAATTTATAAAAAAATACATAAACATTTATTAACGTATTTTTTTATAGACTTAATAAAATTGGACAGATTCGACTTAGGACAAAGTTAAAACAATTTATAATATCAACCAGAGCAAGTCAGTATCAGCACCATCCGCTTGGGAGTACCGACTACCGAGTACGTCCACGCCTCAGTTGGCCACGATGCACTTCACCGTGCTAAGCTCACTTAATACTGTGCTGTCTTTCATCCGTGATCAAGTTTCTTCGTACTATTCTACGAGGCAACAACAATGCTATAATCGCTTAAGCTTATTCAGAATTATTTTTCAGCTATGGAACAGTGTTTTTCTCTCACAATATTTTAGCATAAGCATTAGTATAAGCCAATTTTCAACATCAGCGAACAGAAAACTCAAATATTTTTAAATTTGATCAAATATATATAAAAACATTAATATTTATGATGCATAATCAAACTGGACAACCCTATGCAGCCACCGCCACCGATACGCCGCTTAGAGCAACTCTTCCCTCGCTACTGCGGCCGCCACCGCCGTGCCTAGGTCCCCTCTCCTTCCTTTCCAATGCATCAGCCGGGGATAAGAAGGGAGGGGACCCATTCTTTTTCCTGCAGTTTCATATGGAGTTGCTTAGGGTTTAGTCTAAATAAATTCTTCAGTAAAATCAAATGATTTTAGGTCGGGATCCTACGATGACTTAGGTGATTCCCACGACGAGATTGCCGTTGCAGGCGTTGATTCATCGACGGGCGGCCAATTTGTGGTCTTTATTTGCAAGAGGAGGGGTGCTTCTGGGCGCTCCTAACGAGGACAGGTACTTTGGGTCATCGATCTCTTCATCGATGGTCGTGGAGAGGAAATCAATGTTTGGAGGTGATGTATCCGCATCCTATGTTGTACCCGATGATGCAACTACCGATATTATTTCATCGATTCAGATGCGTTTTGGACTGGTTTCAAAGTGTTGGATCTTGCGAATTGTCCAATGTCTTTGGGTTGGTCGTTGGATTCGACATAAAGACTACACTTTGACTCCGACATTCGAGGGAAGCTATTGAGAAAGAAGACGATGGAAAAATTTGGATAGAATATTATGTATTTTTTATTAAAGATTTTTTCATGTGTAATTTGGAGATATACTATGCTGAGTTTTAATATAATCCCCATTCCCTTGGCGAAAAAATATGATGCATAATCAGTATCATTAGATAAATCATTAAATAGACCAACACGATTCACATAGTGACATTTTTTTGAACATAGGAAGTATCTTTTAATCAAAGACTATTGACCCTGCTTTATAGAAAGCGACATATTTATTGGGGATACCGTCTTACATAGAAAAGTATAAGCGACTTATGAACATATATTTCGCAACATTACATGAAAACCTCTAGACTCCCACTACCCAAATCAAGAAAGTGTATTCCCAAATAGGAGTAATAAGAGAGAGAAAAGGAAGTTACTAGCGTCTGGACGTCCATTCCGAGAAGCTAGCATCGGACGCTGCTGCAGGTCGTAGCTGAATCATTTGGACATTGCCACATGCTAGCTTCGTACCCATCCTGCGCCCCACCCGATCCTCGGCGTCTGTTACTGTTCGGCCCCTGGCTGCTTCCGTGAGGTCCCATCCTGTAGGATCTCTGGTTAGCCTAGAGAGGGGTGAATAGGCCCGTCAAAACAAACGCTCAAACTTTCATCAAATTCAACCTGCGGCACTGCCGCTTTGACCTCGTGGCACTGCCGGACAGCGGCACTGTCGGGCCAGAATAGCGGCACTGCCGCACCTGCAGACAACTTCAAGTCACAGTTCAAAATCAGTGAATGTAAATTTAAATCGGAGAAATTTCTTAGCTTCCTGCAGGTATGAGATTCACAGATCAAGAGTTAGAAATGGTAGGAACACAACACATAAGTAGATCGACCATAAACCCTAGAAATCACCTCAACAATAATATGAAATGCAAATGATGTAAATCAAGCACAAGGTGACACGATGATTTAATCCGTGGTTCAGCTCGCCACAAAGGCTTGCCTACGTCCACGTTGTTGAGGTTAGCCACTAAGGCTTAGGGCTTTGCAACCCTTCCTCGTTCTCAAGTCAAGAGACTCAACTCTTGAGATGAGGGGTGAGTTTACTAGCTTCAAAAGGTGGTTACAAACCTCCCGGGGCTGCCACACAAGTTGGCAAGCTCCACGGGCAACGCTCTAGCCGGCTAGGAGCAAAGCTCCAAGAGTAATAAACACAACCACCGGCCAAAACATGAACCAAGTGCTCTTTTGAGTTGGAGAATCAAAGGATCTGCTCTCTAATTGAGTTTGGGACCTTTTTCTCTCAAGGATTGATGGAAAAATCAAGAAAGAATGCTTGGGAGCTCAAGGTCACCAATGGAGGAGAGAGAAGGGCACTCTTATGCTCTTGGACGAGCTGAATGAGTGGGAGAGAGAAGAGAGACGTTGGAGAGGAAGGGGAAATGTATAAGTACCCGTAGCCCCAATGGTCACTTAAGTCGCGGCAGTGCCGTGGCTCAAGTGCGGCACTGCCGTACCAGGCAAGACAGCAAGGGTAAGAGTGAAGTGTTGGCTATCTTGGCTAAGTAACTGAGGATGCATGTGTAAGATTGAGCACTTGGTAGCACATGTTAGCTTAAGCATTATGTCCCCCTTAATAGTACGGCTTTTCTTATACTCAAATTCAAAATATAAAAGAATTTAAACCTCCTTTGAGTTTGAAGCCAACAACATTTGTAATTGGGGGCTCCTCCGTTTCGTGCAACATCCTCAAATATAGATTCTCTGCTTGTCATCTCGATAAATCTCATTAGTTATCTAATTGCATGGTCATTGTCACCAAAACCCATAATTAAGGCTTGATTGCACTTTCCACTCCTCCTTTTTGGTGATTGATGACAATCTAATTAAAGCTTATAAAACATATGAAATGAATACTGAGATTTTCGAGCCATGGGTGTAGAGCCTCCCCCTAAATGTGTGAATAGAGAATTAAATTCTCAAATTGGCATAAGAAGCCAAGATTCATATTTTAGTGAAAGTGATGGGGCTCCCCCTACATCCATGCTCCTGTGGGGTGCTGCATACTATTTCAGGTATGTAGACGTGATGCGAATGACAGTTCATGCACAACAAGTTTTGCTGTAATAGCTGGGTGCGGCACTGGCGCTCCTAGGTATGGCACTACCGCACTTGCTGTAACAGCACAGATAAGAACAGGCACCACACAGTATGTAACACATATAAAGATATACATTCTAGCATAATTTTATCACCAGCTACAGCACAGATTAATTCATGTCCATATCTCACACATATAAAGTACTTAGGTAGCATTATTACAAAAATAGAGTTTTAAATCATCTCTCAAACTCTCAACCTAACGAAGTCTACTCTAAACGGATAAGAACATAAAGCTCCAGCTGCAGCAACCTCTTCTCCATGGCGATAAAAAAGTTGTTGACCCCTCTAATTTTCTCCCCCTTTGGCATAAAGCACCAAAAAAAGAAGAAAAGAAGAAAGACTAATACTCACTCCTCATCCTCTTGGATGGTGTCCCAATCAACATCATCCCCACCAGTAGCTCCACTAGCACCTGCAACGTCCTCCTCTCCACCACCATCATCATCGTCGTCATCGTCGTCGGAGGAAGAAGAAGACACCACCGCCCTCCCTTGGCGATGAGTGGTCAAAGTGTGGCGCTCACGCCTGATGCTCCTCCTCATGGACTACAAGGTGGTCCTTAAACTTGTGTGAGGATCAAGATCTAGCTGCTCCTGCTCCTGCTCCTCCTCATCCTTTGAATCTGTCTTAGAAAGACTAGGGAGGTCTTCAAACCTCGGCGGTGACTGAATTGGAGAAAGAGGTGGCAGGCCTACACGCTCTCTAGCCTCCTGGTTGGCTTCACGATTCTCCAACCGGTCCTAATATGCGGTCCTCGCTGCATAGGTGCATGTGGTGAAAATAGCCTTGATCCACTTCTCAAACTTCTCTATCTTCTTTTCCTTGCGGATGACTCAAGCACGTCCTCAACTAATGGAGAGTGTCTCACTGCTCTGCTAGCTCCTGCTCCTCGGGTCTTCTCAATCTTGTAGATGGTGTGAAGACCGTCTTTCGCAAATCTATAGCCAGAGACCCTCTCAATCATAAACATAAGATAAGGGGGCATAGGGTATCCCCTTTCTCCCATCCTCCATGGCGTTCCTTAGCTCACGCCACATGAAGCGAGGACATTAAACCTGTCACCTCCAGGAGCAAATCTAGTAAGCACATTCCTCATATATCCATTAAGATCAGAAGTTGCTCCATCCTTGGGATTGATAGTGTGCCTGATCAAATTGTTCAGAATGTAATAATAGCTCTTCAGGCCACTGACCTTCCCATCTGCACTTCTCCTGTCAATCCACATATATGCAATGTCGCGTATCTCAGCTCTAGCCTCATCATGAA